ATGTGAGGCTGGTGAGTCCGATCTTCCCTGTCTACTGTATCTGTAATGATCTTGTGAACCGTGGAGCAGAGACAGAGAGACAGACATGGCCTTCCCTGTCTACTGTATATGTGATGATCTTGTGAACCCCGTAGACAGACAGACAGACAGAGACAGACAGACAGACAGACAGACAAACAGACAGACAGAGACAGACAGACAGACAGACAGAGACAGACAGACAGACAGACACACAGACAACAGACAGAGACAGACAGACAGACAGACATGGCCTTCCCTGTCTACTGTATATGTTGATCATGAACCAGTAGACGAGACAGACAGACGCCTGTCTACTGTATATGTGATGATCTTGTGGAGCCCCGTAGACAGAGACAGACAGACAGACAGACATGGCCTTCCTGTATACTGTATATGTGATGATCTTGTGAACCCCGTAGACAGACAGACAGACAGGAGCAGACAGACAGACAGACACACAGACAGACAGAGACAGACAGACAGACAGACTGGCCTTCCTGTCTACTGTATATGTGATGATCTTGTGAACCCCGTAGACAGAGACAGAGAGACAGACGGACAGATAGGAACAGACATGGCCTTCCTGTCTACTGTATATGTGATGATCTTGTGAACCCCGTAGACAGACAGACAGACAGACAGACTGGCCTTCCCTGTCTACTGTATATGTGATGATCTTGTGAACCCCGTAGACAGAGACAGAGACAGACGGACAGACAGACATGGCCCCTGTCTGACTGTATCTGTAATGATCTTGTGAACCCCGTAGACAGACAGACGACAGAGACAGACGAGACAGACAGACACACAGACAGACAGAGACAGACAGACAGACATGGCCTTCCCTGTCTACTGTATATGTGATGATCTTGTGAACCCCGTAGACAGAGACAGAGAGACAGACGGACAGATAGACACTCGCAATACATCAAACAAGAACACATTATTAGACGGACGGGAAGACGGACTGGTAAGTACTTGACAGTCAAACAGGAACATAGACAGAAAGACAGACAGACAGACACTAAGCAGGATGTTCCTCATTTTAAAGTACAGATAAGTGACAGACAAACAGACAGACAGACAGGAAACTAGAATATAAAGAGCCTACCGTTTAGGTGTACTGTCCAGGTGTATCATTAAGAAGTACTGTCCAGGTGAGTGAGATTACCTGGTGAGGAGAGTGAGAGGTTCATGGTGAGAGTGAGGGAGTTACCTGGTGAGAGAGAGGAGAGGTTACCTGGTGAGGAGAGAGTGGGGTTACCTGGTGAGAGAGAGAGGGTTACCTGGTGAGTGATCGTGGGAGGTTACCTGGTGAGAGAGGAGGAGAGGTTACCTGGGTGGTCAGGAGGTTACCTGGTGAGTGAGAGGTTACCTGGTGAGTGAAAGTGGGGGTTACCTGGTGAGGAGAGAGAGGAGGTCACCTGGGTGGCTGCCTATTGATTACCAGCAGGCGGCCCCTCTGTGTGTGTGTGTGTGTGAGTGTGTGTGCTGAGAATTCATCTAGTTGGTGGAGAGTCACCTAGCTAACTGAAGTCATGTAGTTGGCTAGGGAGGTCCCCTAATTGACTAGGGAGGGTTCCTGCACGGCTGGAAGAGTCACCTAACAGACAGGAAGGTACCTAGCCGGCTGAGGTCACCTGGTTGGTCGGGAGAGTCACGTATACTTGGGGAGTTACTTAATCACCTGGATAATCGCCTGACCACCGGACGGTCACCATAACCACAATGACGGGAGGCGGAGTAATAACATAACCTCCCAGTATCACCCGTTCAGCAAATCCGTTTGGCTGAACACGGATTATCTACGAACACACGCAGGCAGGGCCGGCCGTGGAGCTCTCCTGGGAAAAGATATATTTTTCTTTAAAGGACCAGTGGACTTAGTCTATCCTGTATTTAACACTAAATCTTATACACGCATTTCTACTTTCGTTCATCGACGGAGTTTTGGTGAGTTTGTCCTTGTGGATCGACCCGTGTGTAAAGTCAGCTCAAGGAGTGTGTGATGTCAGCTCAGGAGTGTATGAAGTCAGCTCAAGGGAGTGTGTGAAGTCGCTCAAGGGAGTGTGGAAGTCAGCTCAAGGGAGTGTGTGATGTCAGCTCAGGAGTGTGTGTGAAGTCATCACAGGGGAGTGTGTGAAGTCAGTCCAGGGAGTGTGTGAAGTCAGTTCAAACGAGTGTATGAAGTCAGCCTCAGGGAGGGTGAGAGTCGATTTCAGGTGTGTGAAGTAGCAGCTCAGGGGTGTGTGTGAAGTCATCACAGAGTGTGTGAAGTCAGTCCAGGAGTGTGTGAAGTCAGTTCAAACGAGTGTATGAAGTCAGCTCAGGGGAGGTGTGAACTCGATTTCAAGGAGTGTGTGAAGTCAGCTCAGGGGTGTGTGTGTGTGTGTGTGTGTGTGAAATCGTCTCAAGGGGTGTGTGAAGTCAGCTCAAGAGAGTGTATGTGAAGTCAACTCAAGGGAGTGTGCAGAAGTCAGCTCAGGGAGTGAAGTTAGCGTTGGCGACGTCACTGATCCATCCTGAAGCTTCAAAGGAAACTGTGAACTTTATAGGTAAACATTGACTCACTATCATGTATCGTTGTTAGGTAGTGCGGGAGAGAGTCTACAGGTGTTCCTCTCTCTGCTGTTTCTACATCTGTCTATTTCTCTTGCTGTTTCACTCCCCACTTCCCTTCCTCTCCTTCCACTAACATATATTAACGTCCTCCGTCAGAGCTGCGGGGGATCGACGCCTGAGCTACGGTCCAGGAAGTTGGTGAGTCAGGTGACCTGCACGGTAATTACAGGTAGAGTAGCCCGTCGTCGCCTCCCTGGCTGGCTGGCTGGCCCCCTCCGCTAACGCTACGCCGAGTTGTGGCCGGATTACACGCGTCGACGGTGGCGTAGCGGCGCATACAGGCGTGTTGAACCTCTAAGACGACGAGGAAAAAGATGTTTACGTATCAGTAGCATAAGACAAAAGGTCGCCTGGCCACGTGGAGGTGTGGAGGTAGGGGAAGGAGTGGAGTGAGGGGAAGGGGGGTGGAAGGGGTTGTTGCATGCAAGACGAATCAACAGTTGCGTCAATAGCCTCGACAGTTAGAGATATAAGCCGGTGTTTATACGGGGTGCCGTGGGGGGCTGAGTGGACTGATGGCCGCCCACTGTGCTGCTGGACTCTCGTCGCAACAACACTACCGTACTGGCATTCCCCTACCCCTTGAATAATACGTTTATGCATGTTAAGCCTAGACGAAGGTTCGCCCGCATTCTGCCTGCAGTTGGTGATGTGTTATAGCCAGTACACGAGAACTCTAGGGGCGACACATTACAACCTGGACACGACAACTGTTGAGACACTACAGGTTAAAGGCGACATCCTGCACCTCCTCCACACCAAGAGGATCACCGCCGGGTATAAACTTACATTAGTCTATCTGTCCAGAGCAACATGTAAGCAATTTACTAGAGCCTCTGAAGAATAAACAGACAGAGACAGACAGAGAGACAGACAGACAGGCGAGTGGTTGGGCTGACAGATGTAGAACGACAAAGATGCAGTATATCAGCTCACTTTAGGTTAAATAAATGAAGGTCTCGGTCTGGTGTACAGATGACTCCGCCTACACCTGGTGAGGGAAGGATATTCTCACCACCAACAAGGACCCCAGCAGACCCCAGCAGACACCAACTGACACCAGCAGACCCCAACAGACCCAACAGACCCCAGCACAAGTCTCATGGGAGCCACAACAGTATCCAGAAGGCCCTGAAGGCCCTAAATCTACCAGGAAAGATTTAAAGAGGCCCTAAATTGTGTGAGGTCCTTAAAAGTCTTAAAGAGAGTAATGCCAGAGAGGGTCTTTGATCAGCACAAACTCCAGTAAGTCCCAGAAAGAGTGACTAATTTACCATGTAGCGAAGTTTGGTGAAGGTGAGGACACTAACACCACCACTGACACCCATCCTCTGACACCATCCTCCGCCACCACTGACACTAACACCACCACTGACACCATCCTCTGACACCACTGACACCATCCTCCGCCACCACTGACACCGTCCTCCGCCACCACTGACACCGTCCTCCGCCACCACTGACACCATCCTCCGCCACCACTGACACCATCCTCCGCCACCACCACCAAGCCTACACCCTGAACCACCACCACGACCACCTCTGACTCTTCTCCACCACTCACCACCCCCTGACACCCTTCCACCACTACCACCACCCCTGACACCCTTCCACCACTACCACCACCCCTGACACCCTCTTCCACCACCACTACCACCTTTGACACCCTCTTCCACCACTACCACCACCCCTGACACCCACCACCACATGTACCCCAGTCAGCCATGAATACTCGTAATTACATCAATAAACTTATGAGCTTCTCAACTTGGCAACAAAAACCTGTGTTAGTTGTTCCGCCTCCACCAGGAAGGTCCTTAAACGAGGTGGACTCTGCACTTGCTGCCACCAAGTGTATTAAGTTTTGTCCTCCACTGTTCAAGGACGGTACTTAGTTTCCCGTCCGTGTGTCAGTCTGTCCGTGCGTCCAAAACATAACGATAACAAATAACCACAAATCTTCAACTTAACTTTATTATGTGGATATTCATAAAAAGATCTTACAAGAGGTTTATTATAATCCAACTTTCTGTCTCACCCATTTATAGAGTTATGGCTTCTGGACTTTATTGTGGCGCAGCAGAGGACTTGACGGCTACTAGTGTGAGACCTCTTTGTCGGGCGGATCCTGCAGGTAACCCGACATTTGCTTCTGGTGTTCTATTGGTTAAGTGTTCCTGAAGCCTCAGTGAACGTGACAGGTAAACAGGGCCCTTATCCTATCTTTGGAAACACACACACACACACACACACACACACACACACACACACACACACACACACAGACAAACAACAAACAACTGGGGAACAAGCGGTAGGTCGGGGAGTTTCTCGCCTCAGGTAAAGTCAAGTTTAGATTAGCTGCCCTGTTTTTGTTGGTGGGCCCCTGTAGGTGGCCCTTGTGTAGGTGCCCTCACAGGCCCCTGTGTTGGTGGCCCCATGTTGGGTCTGCTGGTGGGCCCCCCGTGTTGGTGGCCCTCTGTGTTGGTGCCCCTGTGTTGGTGGCCCCCTGTGTTGGTGGCCCCATGTGTTGGTGTCTGTGTTGGTGCTTGGTGCTGTGGGTGGTCCATGTGGTGGCCCTTGTGTTGGTGGCCCCCCCGTGTTGGTGGCCCTTCTGGTTGGTGCCCCCTGTGTAGGTGGCCCCTCCTTGTTGGTGGCCCATGTGTTGGTGGCCTCTTGTGTAGGTGGCCCTCTTGCATTGGTGGCCCCCTGTGTTGGTAGTCCATGTGGGTCTCTTGTGTTGGTGGCCCCCCTGTTGGTGGCTCCTGTGTTGGTGGTCCCCCTCCTGCGTGCAGGTGGCCCCTTGTGTAGGTGGCCCTTGTGTTGGTGGCCCCCCTGTGTTGGTGGCCCCATGTGTTGGTGGCCTTCTGGTGGTCCCTCCTGCGTAGGTGGCCCCCCTTGTGTAGGTGGCCCTCTTGTGTTGGTGGCCCCCTGTGTTGGTGGCCCCATGTGTTGGTGGCCCTTCTGGGTTGGTGGCCCCTCTTCCTAGTTGGCCCTCTTGTGTTGGTGGCCCTTTGTGTTGGTGGCCTCTTGTGTTGGTGGCCCCTTCCTGTGTTGGTGGCCCCATGTGTTGGTGGCCCTCTTAGGTTGGTGGCCCCCCGTGTTGGTGGCCCTGTGTTGGTGCCCCCTGTGTAGGTGGCCCTTGCATTGGTGGCCCCTGTGTTGGTGGCCCCCTCATGTGTTGGTGGCCCCCCCATGTGTTGGTGGCCCTCCTGTGTAGGTGGCCCTCTTGTGTAGGTGGCTCTATTGTGTTGGTGGCCCCATGTGTTGGTGGCCCTCTTGTGTTGGTGGCCCCCGCCGTTGGTGGCCCTCTTGTGTTGGTGCCCCAACCCCTTGTGTAGGTGGCCCTTTGTAGGTGGCCCTTGTGTTGGTGGCCCTCTTGTGTTGGTGGCCCCTGTTGGTGGCCCCATGTGTTGGTGGCCCTCTAGGTTGGTGGCCCCCCGTGTTGGTGGCCCTCCTGTGTGGGTGGCCCTCTGTGTGGGGTGGCCCTCTTGCATTGGTGGCCCTGTGGTGGTGGTGGCCCCATGTGTTGGTGGCCCTCCTGTGTAGGTGGCCCCTTGGGTAGCCCCCTGCACAGGGCCCCCTTGTGTTGGTGGCCCCCCCTCATGTGCTTGGTGGCCCTCTTGTGTTGGTGGCCTGTGTTGGTGGCCCTGTGTTGGTGGGCCCCATGAGTAGGTGGCCCTTGTGTGGGTGGCCCTCTTGTGTTTGGTGGCCCTCCTGCAGGGCCCCATGTGTTGGTGGCCCTCCTGTGTTGGTGGCCCCTCTCCTGTGTTGGTGCCCCCCCACCCCCCTGTGTTGGTGGGTCCTCCTGGTGCAGGCCCCCTTGTAGGTGGCCTCTTGTGTTGGTGGCCCCCCCGGGTTGGTGGCCCCATGTGCTGGTGGCCCTCCTGTGTTGGTGGCCCCTCTCCTGTGTTGGTGCCCTCCCCACCTGTGTTGGTGCCCCTCCCCACCCCCCTGTGTTGGTGCCCACCCCCCTGTGTTGGTGCCCCCCACCCCCTGTGTTGGTGCCCCACCCCAGGGTGGCCCCCACCCCCCCTGGTTGGTGCCCCCACCCCCCTGGTGCCCCACCCCTGTGTTGGTGCCCCCACCCCCTGTGTTGGTGCCCCCACCCCTGTGTTGGTGCCTCCCCACCCCCCTGTGTTGGTGGCCCCACCCCCTGTGTTGGTGCCCCCACCCCCTGTGTTGGTGCCCCCACCCCCAGCTGGTGCCTCCCCACCCCCTGTGTTGGCCCCTACCCCCCTGTTGGTGCCCCCCACCCCCCTTGTTGGTGCCCCCACCCCCAGTTGGTGCCCCCACCCCTGTGTTGGTGCCTCCCCACCCCCTGTGTTGGTACCCCACCCCCCTGTGTTGGTGCCCCCACCCCTGTGTTGGTGCCCCCTCCCACCCCCTGTATGTGCCCCCACCCCCCTGTGTTGAGGCCCCCCACCCCTGTGTTGGTGCCCCCACCCCCAGGTAGGTGGCCCCCCACCCCCTGTTGGTGCTCCCCACCCCCCAGCAGGGCCCCACCCCCTGTGTTCAGTGCCCCCACCCCCCAGGTGCTGGGGCCCCCACCCCCTCAGGTGCCCCCCACCACCTGTGTAGGAGGCCCCCACCCCCCAGTTATGCCCCCACCACCCTGTTATGCCCCCCCAGGCCCCCACCCCCTCAATGGCGCCCCACCCCTGTGTGTGCCCCCACCCCCCAGCAGGCCCCACCCCCCGGTGTTGGTGCCCCCACCCTCCCAGCAGGGCCCCACCCCCTGTGTGCCCCCACCACCCCACAGGCCCCCACCCCCCAGGCCCCCACCCCCCAGCCCCCACCACCCTGGTGCCCCCACCCCCCCAGCAGGGCCCCCACCCCTGTTGAGGCCCCCCCACCACCCCTGGCCCCCCACCCCTGGTTGGTGGCCCCCTGTATGATGAATAATATGAAGAGTAGTGGTGGTGGTGTTAGTAGTAGTAGTGGTGGTGGTGGTGGTGGGTGTTAGTAGTGGTAGTAATAGTGGTGGTGGTGGTAGTGGTAGTGGTGGTGGGTGGTGTTAGTAGTAGTAGTGGTGGTGGTGGTGGTGGTGGTGGTGTTAGTAGTAGTAATGGTGGTGGTGGTGGTGGTGGTGGTGTTAGTAGTAGTGGTGGTGGTGGTGGTGGTGTTAGTAGTAGTGGTGGTGGTGGTGGTGGTGGTGTTAGTAGTAGTGTGGTGGGTAGTAGTAGTGTGGTGGTGGTGTTAGTAGTAGTGGTAGTAGTAATAGTGTGGTGGTGGTGGTGGTGTTAGTAGTAGTGGTGGTGGTGGTGGTGGTGGTGGTAGTAGTAGTGGTAGTAGTAATAGTGGTGGTGGTGAGTATAGTAGTGGTTGGTGGTGGTTGGTGGTAGTAGTTGGTGGTGTTAAGTAGTAGTGGTGGTGGGTGGTGTTAGTAGTAGTGTGGTGGTGGTGGTGGTGGTGTTAGTAGTAGTAGTGGTGGTGGTGGTGGTACGGTTGGTCAGTAGACGGTTTGCCCTCCCAATGCGTGTGTGGCTCTCCCTATGATGGCGATCACGCCATGGTCTGCAAGAAGGGGGGCTTCATATGCATGAGGCATGACGAGGTAAGGGATCTCACAGCAAATATGTTGAAGGAAATCTGCCGGGACGTCATGGTAGAACCGACCCTCCTTCCACTGGATGGCGAGATCTTCCAACACAGGACTTCAAACACATCTAACGAAGCCCGTGTGGACGCCAGTGCTCGAGGATTCTGGACGCGGGGACAGCGAGCTTTCTTCGACATCAGGATTTTTGATCCCATGGCCGCTTGTCACCGTAACCTAGCTCTCGATGCTGCACATAGGAGGAACGAGAACGACAAGAGAAGGGCATATGGGGAGAGAATTCAAAACGTTGATCAAGGCAGCTTCACTCCTCTAGTGTTCACAACCTCTGGTGGGATGGGCCCAAGTGCAAGATGTTTCTACGCCAGACTCGCGGAGTTGATCTCCGAACAGAAGCAGCAGCCCAGGAGTTATGTTGCAGCCTGGATGAGATGTCGACTGTCTTTCTCTCTCCTTCGGTCGGCTTTGCTTTGCCTCAGGGGAACGAGAGCTTCTGCCCCTACTCCGACAACTGCTGCAGATATTGACTACAGGCTGGCAGTCACTGAATGGCCGCATGCCAGATCTGGTGGCTCAACAAGTTAACATGATAGATAGCTTCATGTATTAGGTATTAATATTAAGGTAAACAACGGTGGCGAAGGTGTGGCTAGTTGGGGAGGCTGGAAAAATGTTTATTAAAAAAAAAAAAAAAAAAAAAAAAAAAAAAAATAGTGGTGGTGGTGTTAGTAGTAGTGGTGGTGGTGTTAGTAGTAGTGGTAGTAGTAATAGTGGTAGAGATTTTGAAAAAAAAGTAGCTATAGCGCAGGAGGTGGGCGCCTCGAACTGGTTAACTACGTTGCCGATAAGGGCAAATGGTTTCAGTCTCAATAAACAAGAATTTACAGTTGCCAATGCTCTAAGGTACGGTAGGCCAGTAGAAGGTTTGCCCTCCTAATGCGTGTGTGGTTCTTCCTATGACGTCGATCACGCCATGGTGTGCAAGAAAGGGGGCTTCATATGCATGAGGCATGACGAATTAAGTGATCTCACAGCAATTATGTTGAAGGAAATCTGCCGTGATGTCAGGGTTGAACCGACCCTCCTTCCATTGGACGGTGAGATTTTCCAACATAGGGCTTCAAACACATCTAACAAAGCCCGTGTTGACGTCAGTGCTCGAGGATTCTGGACGCGGGGACAGCGAGCCTTCTTCGACATCAGGACTTTTGATCCCATGGCCGCATGTCACGGTAACTTAGCTCTCGATGCTGCACACAGGAGGAACGAGAACGACAAGATAAGGGCATACGGGGAGAGAATTCAGAACGTTGATCAAGGCAGCTTCACTCCTCTGGTGGGCTGGGACCAAGTGCAAGATGCTTCTATGCCAAACTCCAAACTCGCAGAGGTGATATCCGAACAGAAGCAGCAGCCCAGAAGTAGTGCTACAGCCTGGATGAGATGTCGACTGTCCTCTCTCCTTCGGTCGGCTTTGCTCTGCCTCAGGGGAACGAGAGCATCGGCCCCAAAGCCGACAACAGTTGCAGATATTGACTAATGAGGCAACAGTCACTGAATGCCGCATAGATCTGCGGCTCAACTAACTCAACACAGCCAGGATAGCTACTTATGTATTAGGATATTTAATATTAAGGTAATAAAATGGTGGCGAAGGTATGGCTATTGGAGGAGGCTGGAGGCCAGTAATAGTGGTGGTGGTGGTGTTAGTGGTAGTAGTAATAGTGGTGGTGGTGGTGTTAGTAGTAGTGGTAGTAGTAATAGTAGTGGTGGTGGTGGTGTTAGTAGTAGTAATAGTGGTGGTATATGTCTCAGGTCATCGACCTAAAGTTTGACAAGAATATGGGAGAAGCCTGCAAAGGAGGGAGGGGAGGGAGGGAGGAGGAGGGAGGGAGGGAGGGAGGGGAGGGAGAGGGAGGGAGGAGGAGAGAGAGAGGAGGGAGGGGAGGGAGAGAAGAGGAGAGGAGGAGGGGAGGAGGGGAGAGAGAGAGGAGGAGGGAGGAGGGAGAGGGAAGAGAGAGGGAGGAGGAGAGAAGAGAGAGGGAGGGAGGGAGGGGAGGAGGGAGAGGGGAGGAGGAGGAGGAGGGAGAGAAGAGAGAGGGAGAGAGGGAGGAGGGAGGGAGAGGAGGAGGGAGGGAGGAGGAGGGAGGGGAGGGAGGAGGGAGGGAGGGAGGAGGGGAGGGGAGGGAGAAGAGAGGGAGGGAGGGAGAGAAGAGGGAGGGAGGGAGGGGAGGAGAGAAGATAGAGAGAGAGAGGAGGGAGGGAGGGAGGAGGGAGGGATGAGAAGGAGGGAGGCTGGGAGGTGAGAATAAAGGTGGGATGAAATTAGGGTAAGAAGAATAAGTGAGATAAAAGACGGTGAGGAAAATAAGGCTTAAAATAGATGCAAGAGAGAGGGAGAGAGAAAGAAAGAGGGAGGGGGAGTGGTGCAAGAGAAGTGAGAGGGAGGGGAGAGTAAAAGAAGAGAGGCAGGTCAAGGAAGATAGATGAGTGTGAAAGGAAGACGGAAGGGGAAGATGGATGGCGGAGGAGGGAAGGAGGACGGGAAGGAGGAAGTAAAGAAGCAATGGCGGGGAAGACGGAGGGAGAGAGAGGGGGAGGGGATGGAAGAGAAAGGAGTAGATGTGATAATAATGGATCAACGATGAGAGAGAGAGAGAGAGAGAGAGAGAGAGAGAGAGAGAGAGAGAGAGAGAGAGAGAGAGAGAGAGAGCAAAAAGCTGAGAGAAAGCAAGAGAGAGAGAGAATGGAGATAAGGATATAAGCTATGAGAGAAAAACCGAGAGAGAAAGAGAGAGAGGAGGAAACATTAGAGATAAATCGCCCTTACGGAGAGAAAGTGAGCAATTAAAGTTATCTCTCACGTCAAACAATTTAGCGATGACTTTATACAGAGGAACACATTTGGCGAGCGTCTCCTGGCCCTGAGAGACCATTTGGCGAGCGTCTCCTGGCCCTGAGAGACCATTTGGCGACCGTTTCCTGGTCCTGAGAGACCATTTGACGACCGTTTCATGGCTCTGAGAGACCATTTGGCGACCGTTTCCTGGTCCTGAGAGACCATTTGGCGAGCGTCTCCTGGCCCCTGAGAGACCATTAAGACCGTTTCCTGGTCCTGGAGAGCAGTTCCTATTTGGCGACCGTTTCATGGCTCTGAGAGACCATTTGGCAACCATCTCCCGGCACTGAGAGGCCACCAAGGCTGTTTACTGGCCCTGAGAGACCATTTGGCGAGAGTCCCCAGCCCCGGAGAGACCATTTGACCACTGCTTCCTGGTCCTGAGAGACCATTTGGTGACCGCTTCATGGCTCTGAGAGACCATTTGGCAACGTCTCTGCCCTGAGAGGCCATTTGGCGACCGCTTACTGGCCCTGAGAGACCATTTGGCGACCGTTTCATGGCTCTGAGAGACCATTTGGCGACCGTTTCCTGGTCCTGAGAGACCATTTGACGACCGTTTCATGGCTCTGAGAGACCATTTGGCAACCGTCTCCTGGCCCTGAGAGGCCATTTGGCGACCGTCTCCTGGCCCCGAGAGACCATTTGGCGAATGTCTCCTGGCCCTGAGAGACCATTTGGCGACCGTCTCCTGGCCCTGAAAGACCATTTGGCGACCAATTTTGCCTTTTGGGACCTATTTGTCGATCCCGTCTTGTTCCTGGTATTTGGCGATCATCCCTAGCGTGACAGCTGGTCTATCCCGGGGAAATTTTCACAGCTGGTTCCTAGGTCGCGACCATCTGGCCACCAGCTGACATACAGACGGCTCTGTCTACCTCTAGCTGGTTGTTTCTTGCAGTACTTGACACTGATTGGTTAATTCCCGTCGTTGTGAGCACTGATTGGTTAATTCCCTTCGTTGTGAGCACTGATTGGTTAATTTCCGTCGTTGTGAGCACTGATTGGTCAATTCCCGTCGGTGTAAGCACTGATTGGTCAATTACTGCGGCTCTAAATACTAACTGGACCATTCCCACACTTGTAAGCACTAAGTGGTCAATGCCAGTCGTTTACAAACATTGAATGGTCAATCTCCGTCGCTGGCAACACTCAGTCACTCCCCTCAGTACAAAACGTGGAGCTACGGGTCCATTAGTTTAGTCAAGACCATTAATTCCTCTCACTTCCACTTCCCCTCACTCCCTCCCTGACCCTTCCCCTTACTCCCTTCCATCTCCTACCCTGCCCCACCTATATGCCTTCCCTCCCTCCCTCACCCTGCCCACTGGACCCCTCACCCACCCTGCCCACTGGACCCCTCACCCACCCTGCCCACTGGACCCCTCACCCACTGGACTCTGAACCCCTCAACGTCCACTACCAATATCTTCCTCCACCTCCCCTCATAATACCTCTTTGCCCTGAGCTACTAATTGAACGTTTCCCCTTACTCAGGATTTAACACACTTCCCCTCTCGCTTGCAACTTACAAACCCAACTTCTGCATCGATTCTCTTCCTCTCCCCTTCACCCCTCTTTTCCCCTTAACGTTTCAATCAATCTTTCGTATTTACACTTTTGTTTGCTTTCTCCTCTTCGTTGTTATTATTGTTTATATTCGTCCGGTTTTCCCAAGAGGTTAAGAAATTATTATTAATATTTCTCTCTTCCTGTTTATTCCTGTGTGTCTTTCCCTCTCCTCTTTCTTCCTATCCCTCTTCCTTCCTACGGCTCTTTCCTCCTCCTCCTGTTCTAAATCAATCTTTCTTTTATTTCCTCTTTCTTTCTCCTCTTTCCTTTATCAATATTTACAACGCTCTTCCATCTTCCTTGGTCTAGACGCTACCCTTCCCTCCCCTCCCCTCCCCTCTTCACCCCTCTCTCCTACCCCCCTCCTTCCCCTCCTCTCCTCTCCTCCCCTTGAGTCTGAGTGAACATCCAGTTATCAATATTTACAACACTTCATCTGTTACCTGTGTGTCCTTTACCCTCCCTTCTGTCCCCCCTCACCCTCACCCTTCTTCCCCTCACCCCTTTCCTGAGGACGTGCCGTATCCCTCTCTCTCCCTCTCTAGAGCCCTGTTACTTGACCCACCCCTCTCACTCCCCTTTTCCTCTTCTCTCTCACTCCCCTTCTCCTCTTTCTCTCTCTCTACCTCTCCCTCTTCTCTCTCACTCCCCTTCTCTCCCTCTTCTCTCACCCTTCCCTCTCTCTCTCACTCCCCTTCTCCTTTCCTCACTCCCCTCCCTCTCTCACCCCCTTCTCCCTTTCTCTCACTCTCTTCTCCTCTTCTCTACTCCCCCTTCTCCTCTCTTTCTCTCACTCCCCTTCTCCCTTTCTCTCTCACTCCCCTTTTCCTCTTTCTCTCACTCCCCTTCTCCCTCTTTCTCTCTCACTCCCCTTCTCTCCTCTTCTCTCACTCCCCTTCTCCCCTTCTCTCTCACTCCCCTTTTCCTCTTCTCTCTACCCCTTCTCCTCTCACTCCCCTTCTCCTCTCACCCCCTTTCCTCTCTCTCACTCTTTCATTTCTCCTATCTGCTTTCATCTTCCTTTTTTATTTCTTATCTTGCTATTCTTTTTTTCCTCTTCTCCATCTCTTCCACTTACCCCCCTTCCATCTTCCTCCCTCCCTCTTGGAACCCCACGCCCCCTCAACCACCTTCTCCCATCACCCCTTCACCCCTCGCCCCGCCCCGCCCCAGGTACTGGATCAAGGTGTCCTCAGTGGGCGGCCGTAATCGCACGCCTCCCTTCACCACCACGACCCCTCGCTCAACACGCGTCCTCCACGACTCACTTCTCAAAATTACTCTTATATTTACTTTCCATTTTCTGACAGGTGATGGCCGTGCCTCCTCCAGGTTGGATTAAGTTAGGTTAGGTTAGGTTAGGTTAGGTTTTTTGGGTCCTTCCTATTGCCGAGCCATTACTCGACACTTCCCATTTATAACACCACGTAAATATGTGAGAATAATTATTATTAAGGTGATAATGATTATAATGTCATCATGTTAAGGTTATAATGAGGATGGTAATAATGAGAATAATTATGACAAAAATAAAAAATAAAAAATTATTTCGTCACCATCATACTTCCGGCACCACACACACACACATTATCCTAGAGCTAGACCAGCCTTGTCGTCTCCTCACAAGTTATCTCAAGGGCGTCCACACCCATCCTTACCTAGAGAGAACCTGGGTCTTCCTGAAGATCACAAGAGCCTCTCCTCTTACCCCCCCCCCCGAAGAAGGATCAGACAGCCTCCTGACGACCACTAGAGTCTCAGGTGAACAAGACCTCTCCTTTTACCTCCTGAAGAAGACACAGACGGCCTCCTGAACCCTCCTGACGGCCACTAGAGTCTCAGGTGAACAAGACCTCTCCTCCTACCTCCTGAAGAAGGGTCAGACAGCTTCCTGACGAACACCAGTCTCAGGTAAACAAGGTCTCCTGCTATTTACTTCCGTCCCCAGCAGGAGCGCGTCTAGGGAACGCCCCTCCTGCCGCAGGGGACCTCTACAGATTCCCCTCCGTTATCTCTTTGGCGTCCACGAGGGCATGTAATTGCCCTCACTTTCCCCTTTGTTGCCCGCGAGAAAAATGGTCGCGCGGATAATTTTGTCCAAGAGGGACAACACCGTACACGACGCCGGCCAGCTGATGACGACCCCCTCTACCACGACCCCCCTCTACCACGACCCCCACACCTGTGACCCAAGACCACTCTACCACGACCCCGCTCCACCACTTTATTCCACACCTGTGACCCAAGACCACCCTCTACCACGACCCCCGTCTACCACGACCCCCACACCTGTGACCCAAGACCACCTCTACCACTGACCCCCGCTCCACCACGACCCTTCACACCTGTGACTCCAAGACCCCCACTACGACCCCTGTCTACCACGGACCCCCACACCTGTGACCCACGACCCCCACACACCTGTGACCCAAGACCACCTCTACCACGACCACTTACCACGACCCCCTACTACGACCCCACACCTGTGACCCAAGACCACCTCTACCACGATCCCCTACTACGACCCCTGCCCACCACGACCCCACACCTGTGACCCACGACCCCCACACCTGTGACCCAAGACCACCCTACTCACGACCACCCTACCACGACCCCTACTACATGACCCCCACACCTGTGACCCAAGACCACCTCTTACCACGACCACCTCTACCACGACCCCGTCTACCACGACCCCCACACCTGTGACCCAAGACCACCTCTACCACGACCCCTCGTCTACCACGACCCCCACACCCAGACCCACGACCCCACACCTGTGACCTAAGACCACCCTACCTCACGACCACCTCTACCACGACCCCCTGTCTACCACGACCCCACACCTGTGACCCAAGACCAATTTCTACCACGACCCATTCTACCACGACCACCACGCCTTTCACCACCACTACGACCACCATATCCCTTAACCATAACTACAACCACTACAAGCAGGACTACTACCACCACAACCACCAAATCATTTTCACAACGACCACCACCACAACCCAGTAGACAATAAACAAAACCGAGAGCAAAAAAGTTCAACCACGACCCACCCAATAACGACAACCACGACCCACCCAATAACGACAACCACGACCCCCATACCCCCCTCGGAGAAGCCCCTGACAACGACCATCACCACACTGCGACGAAAACTACAACAACGACCAGGAAGGCGACGAAGACGACCAAAACGACGTGGTGGACAAATTGGATGGGACCCGGCCGACAAAATACTACAGGGAAGATATGAATGAAAGGGAGGGAGGAGGGGAGGGTGAGACACGTCCTCGGCCCTTCCTGAGACTTACGGGTTCTGAGTGGCAAGGGAGAGTGGGGTTGGGGGGGGAGAGGGGCTAGGGGAGGGGAGAGTGGGGCTAGGGAGGAGAAGGGGGCTGGGGAAGGGGAAGTGGGGGGGGGAAGGTGGGGGCTGGGGAAGGGGAAGTGGGGGTTGGGGGAGGGGGAGAGGGGTTGGGAGGGGGGAGGGGCTGGGGAGCAGGGAGGAAGAGAGGGGCTGGGGAAGGGAAGAGGGGCTGGGGAAGGAGGAAGGAAGGGCAAGGGTAAGGGAGGGCTAAGTGAAAGCCTGGGGGAAGGGAGTAAAGGGGAAGGGAGGGACTACAAAGGGGTAAGGCGGAAGAAAGGGAAGAGGAAGGGGGAGGTGAGGGGCAAGAACAAACGAAAGGGACAAAGGGGCAA